ATATTAACTGTTATACGTGTTCGTGTGTTGAGGGATTTACCGGTAAAAACTGTGAAACCAACATAGACGATTGTGCCTCCAAACCTTGTCAGAATGGAGCAAACTGCACAGACAATATTAACGGTTATACGTGTTCGTGTGTTACGGGATTTACCGGGCAAAACTGTGAAATCAACATAGACGATTGTGCCCCTAACCCTTGTCAGAATGGTGCAAGTTGTAGCGATGGTATCAGAAATTATACTTGCATATGTCTCCCAGGCTTCGCTGGTCAAGATTGTGAAACAACAGTGGACGAATGTGCCTCTAATCCTTGCAAGAACGGTGCTGTTTGTAAAGACGCTATGAATGGTTACATCTGTAGGTGCAGAGATGGTTTCAGTGGGACTAACTGTGACGTAGCTACCTCTACCCCTAGTACCAGCAGTAGAATCTGGTTAAATGTCTTTAATGGTACTCGAGCATTCTCAGTCCGTATATTTTTTAACTTTAAAGAATTTAACTTCGGAAAAAATACATGGCAGGATATTGTGAATGCAAATATTAATAGGCTTGTGTTTTTAACTGCATGAATTAAAAATGATTGAGATGCTTTCAGATTCCACTGCTCGTTTTGAAAGAAAAAAGTTAAAAGTATTCGAATGCCATGGCACATATGTTAAATATTTAGTATATATCTTTATTTATCATTTTTTTTTCTCTTCAGATCCTTGTAAACCAAACCCTTGTCCAGAAATCGCACCTGGTCAACATGTTACTTGTCAACCTGATGGTGACGCTTATAAATGTGCCAAGCCCAGCGGTGAGTGTAATTTAACTTCCTGTAATTCGAATTTCATGTACAGTATGAATCAAAGGAGAGTTTAACACCTGTCCTAATTTACTGCTGTTTTCCATATTTTTTAAATGTTCAGTGGTCATCCTGTGTTATAACTTTTGAGAGTAAAAATATAAATTACACGTTTAAACTGTAAATATTTTACCATTTGTTTGTTTGTTTGTTTAATTTCATCAATTAACAATTACTTTCGGGCCTTTATTGCTCTAAAGGTTATTGTATGGACAACAAGAGGCTCTACAAGAAAGGAGAAACGTGGGACATCGGGTGCAGGGAGACCTGTAGATGCATAAAACCAGATATGAACTTCAAATATTGTGAACCAAAGTAAGTTTTTTTTACCACCGTGTACAAAAGTCTAATGAATAACACTTTCACCTCCATTAAAAAATCTACCAATCATTTTGATGTATTTTGATGTTTTGTGTGTAAATACGATCATTGGCATGTTATGTAGTTATTTTATATATTTTTTACTTGAGAAATTTTTTCCTGAATAGGTCGTGTACAGATTATAGAGTGACAGCTATTCCACCTGGGTGTAAACTAGACCCTCCTAAGCCTGGAGAATGTTGTGAGGCGGTAAAGTGTGGACAGCTGGATCCCGCAGGTTAAGAGCATTTATTGAGAAATAATGATAAACCGACATCCGTATAGCTTTGATAATTTCTACCGCAGTGGTTTATCTACCGTACAAAAATATTTAAGGACAGTATAAATTAGTAGAATTCTAAATGGGCACCGCACCGACGTTTTTTTTTTTTTTTTTTTTTTTTTTTTTTTTTTTTTTTTTTTGCATGTAACACAACAATGCAGTAAATAATTTCCACACATCAGGATATATTTTTATCAATAATTTGTTTTCTGAAGAATATCTCTTATAACTATTTATCGTGTATTTATGTTTGTAGTTGTTAGCGTACTTATATCTTTTTTTGTTTATTTATATTTGGCATTTGCAGCGATTCTGGGGTTTCATGATTAACTGTGCTTATGTGTCTGCATGTTTATACGTTTACTGCGTCAATTCGGGGCAGGTGCAAACATTTTTTTTTCAAATTTAAGAATCTGTAATTAAAAAGGAGGGAAAAATCAACTGTTTCCGGCAGAAATTTATGTCTTAATTATAATATTAATAAAGAGTATCGTTCTATTTTATGGAAAAAGCTAGATGCTTCTATGTGTCATTTAATCATTATTTTTTTTATGTGGGCATGGCATAATGGTTTCTATATCTGTGTATATTTATATGCTGATCGAAAAGCCGACTCTAGATATTGCCCACTACCTAGTCCCTGAATAAATAAAGGATATATAAAAACAGACTACCCGAAATGTTACTCGTGTACCTCTAAGGATTATACAAGCAGCGTTACCCCTGACGTAAAGAGTTGTTTTATTTATTATCCCAAACCAATGAAATTACCGATACGTCAACGGGCGATCCCTATACGATAACATATACTGACTGTGATTAAGTCTAGCAGATCGAGTAGGGACACCCTTGGCTACTGGCAGAAAATGGAAGAAAGCTGGAGATGAATTGAATACTGTAGGCACATGTTTTTCAACTAATCGTTTCATGCTATTCAATTAAAAACTTGTAAATAATTAGATTAAATTTCACTTTTCGTAACAAATGTTAACATGTTAATTGAATTGCATTATGTAGTGTTTAAATGTCACACTGGTATTTTAATTAAAAATAAGAACAAATACACATATCCGTGCCGCCAAAGTGTATTTTAAATATATATAATGCCAGAAACCGAAATGAGTTTTCAGACATCTTATTAGAAAGCTTCAATTTCACAAAAAATCTCAACTTACACATAAGCCATTTACCCCTTGCTGTGATTTTTCACATTCATTTAAGTTTTAAACAACTTATGATTTCTGTTTTAAATCACTTAACATGGTTATAATAATTTAAAAACAAGGAAAAAACTATAACCCATTACTCTGTCGAATTATTCTAATAATATTCAAAATATATAATATTATAGTTTTGGTAAATATTTGAAAAAGTTTCATTTTCATACAATGTTCGTTGAATCGTCCATTTATGTTAACTGCTATTTTAAGGGCGTTCTGTTGTAGATAACTCAATGTCTGACGTCATGCCGCCCTACAATTTACGGTGGTGGTGTAAGCTGGTCACAGTTGAGCGTTTCGCAGCACTCTCCGGGTTTGGGAGGGATCAGTTTACACCCAGTCTGAAGCCCCACCGTTTTCCAATCAGTGCTACACCTGTAAGGCAAAATGCAACAGTGATACAACAAACCAGCTACATTTCACCTAAGCGCAGAATTTTAGTTCCTACTGAAAATTGCAGCTTATTGGAGAATTACTAATTATTGCATATATACTGTAGCTTTTTTTCTGAGAACTCAATATTAAAAAAAAAAACATGCCAGTAGTATAAGCGTGATAAGAGTATGTCTCTGATACTTGGTTTCACAATCTATAATAACCAAAGTCTAACAACATACTTGGCTTCGCAGTAGTAGAAGTTCATATCTGAGGAAATGCACCGACATGTTTGCTGGCAACCGATGTCCCATGTTTCCCCTTCCTTGTAGAGTTTATTATCAGCCATACAGTAGCCTATAACACAAAAAATAATTGAGGTCTTTCAATATTGGTTTTTCAAAAATAAATAACAAATTATTATATTGTAATAAAATAGATTAGTTATCATGGTCTCTTTTAGAACATTTTCCATTAATTTGCATTTCATTTTTGCAACAATTGTCGTGATGCACTAGTGTCTTTTTAAGATTGTTCACATAGCAATAAAGCAGCGAAGTCGGGTACAGAAAATAAGAATACCCTGTCGAAAACCTTTCTTTTCAAATATTTCTGAATGAAACCAAACGAGCATTATAAACCTACCTTTGGGTTTCATTGTCGAAGGGGTAGTTGCCACGTTGATACTCGGCACTGTGGTCGCAGGAAGCTCACAATTCATACCTTTAAATCCCAGCTGGCACAAGCACGTGTATCCATGTCCCTTATTTATGCATGTTCCACCATTTCTGCAAGGATCTGAGGCACACTGGTCTCTCTGGGTTTGACAGAATAATCCGCTGTACCCGTTAAGACACGCACAAGAGTAGCCGCCTATGGTGTCACTGCACGTTCCACCGTTAAGGCAAGGGTTGGATGCGCATTCGTCGATGTTGGTTTCACAGTTGTCACCGGTAAATCCAACAGGACAGGAGCAAGCATAGCTGGCGATGAGGTCTGTACAAGAGGCCCCATTTTTGCACGGTTTAGACGCGCAGTCATCCACGTTTGTTTCACAGTTTTGACCGGTAAATCCTGCAAGACACGAACACGTATAACTGTTGATATCGTCGGTACAGCTTGCTCCATTCTGACAAGGTTTAGAGGCACAGCCATCTGTCTTGGTTTCACAGTTGGCCCCGGTGAATCCTACTGGACAGATACATGTATACCCATTAATGCCGTCCGTACACGTCCCACCACTTTTACAAGGTGAGAAAAGGCACTCATTGATGTTCACATCGCACGTTTCTCCCGTGAACCCAGACGCGCAGTCGCACGAGAAACCATTCACTCTGTCGGTGCACTTAGCACCATTTTTACAAGGTGCGGAATGACAGTCGTTTATGTTGGTTTCGCAGTCCTTTCCCGTAAAACCAGAGGAACAGGTGCAGGTATATCCCTTTGCAGTGTCTCTGCATGTCCCGTTGTTTTGGCATGGGGACCTTGTGATGCATTCTGTAATTAAAAATCAATATACGACAGGTATTTAAAATAAGTGCGACGACAAATGAAACAGAATTTTATTAATTAATAAGTATGATAACTTTGACATTAACCCCAGTGGAAATTCACCCTACCCTGTTGGAAGCAAATAATCAGATCGAAAATGTTGGGTGGTATCGAAAACTTGAGGCATTCTGTTTGCAAATGAATGACACAGAGGGAATATGAAGTAACTGCAGGAAAATATTATATCGCTTGCCGATCAGCAATCACAAGGGAAGGTATATTCTCATATTTTTATTTTATTGATAATGCCCAAAATGTATTAGGTCTTTTAGAGTTCCTTAGCATTTGTTAGTTGAAATGTATTTAAGAAATGATCTCTTAATTTGATTTACTGCAGTAAACGGTAAAAAATAACTTTAAATTCCAGTTATTGCCTCTTTTTTTTTTTTTTGGGGGGGGGGGATAACGTACGGCATAAACGCATTATGAACCAAACTACGGATATTCTCTCTTGTTTATCTTTCACCATAAATTTATCTATCATACTTTACGTCCTTGATGTGACTAGTGATAATCATCACAGGTGTTACAGCATACACAGGATGGATGGATTAAACCCGATAAGTGTGGTTTAAAGTCTACCCAGGGCCACAGTGTCAAGATTCTGGTGCGGTCTCACCAACATTCATCGACTATTACTGAACTGTAATTTGCATTGACCCAACTTCTCCTAATATTGCGATTTAATTGCTACAATTTCATATAATGAATCAAAATCACAAATTACAAAAAGAAGTTAAAAGAGTACAGTACCACGTAATGAGCATGTCGGTTCTGTTCCATTCCAGCGTAGCTGTGCCAGGTTGTTGTTCACCTGGCATCTACGGACCCTGTTACCTGCGGTCATAATGTACCCACTGTCGCACGCGTATCTCACCGTCTGTCCTCTTTGGTTACCGGTCACTTGCATAGTACCATGGGCTGGTTTTTTGAGGGCTGGGCAAACTGAATTAAAACACAAACAATCATATATATATATATATATATATATATATATATATATATATATATATATATATATATATCTGATTATGATGAAAGCAAAAGGATTAAAGTATCTGTTTTGTGGACAGAGATGGAAACGTCACATTTAATTACTATGTCGTAGGGATTACTCTTGTTCATTAACAGTCGTCAATTTAAATTAAGTTATATTATTCGTAGTTTTATGACAGTAGAGATTAAGTGGGCACCTCCCTCCCCCTCCTCATCAAATAAACTCTTATAATTAAAACAATTGTATTTTTTATATCAAATTATTGTGTTTGTTTGTCACTCGGTTATGTTTGGCTAGTCAGTGCTAAAACGACGAAACAATGTTTTACCTTCTTTAAATAAAGTTTATTATTATTATTATTATCATTATCATTATTATTATAAACGTACGGTCACAGTGTGGCCACGATCCACTCCAAATGCCGCCCAACCGACACGTCTGCTTCACGGGGCCGGAGAGATGCACATAACCTTTCTTGCACTTGTACTTTACGGCTTCGTTCAGATAATAATGGTTCTTAAATGGAACAATTCCCTCAACGTTGCTTGGTGCGTTATTGCGGGTGCAAAAGCTCACTGAAAATGCCAGTTAATTATAAGCAGTTATAAAGGTTACCTTGCATACAGCTTCTATAGCTCAAAGAGATTGATTTGAACGTGACGAACTCATAAATAAAGACAACTACAAAAGTTTGTCTGTGTCTGTGATTGACCTACTTACGGACACATTTAGGTTCTGAGCCGCTCCAAGTGCCGCCTTTTTCACAGCTTCTCTCCAAGGAACCAGCTGTTAGGATATAATCCTTCCGGCATTTGTACTTTATTTTTTGCTTTACGTTATATGTATCTTTCAGTTTAAGTTTGCCGTCCATGTTTGGTGGCATTTGGGGAGGTGTACAGAATTTTATGGACTCTTTTACTGAAAAACAAGATAAATGTTTTAACATTGATACAGAATGGGTCATTAAAGGAAATCATGTTGCATATCTGCTGGTAGGTCGATTTTTCAAATTCATTGCATGTAGTGATGTACTAATTTAAATTGTTATCAAAATACTATGTAACATTGCTATTCTATAAGAACTGAATTTTTGTTCGAATGTAATCAGAATTGAGGAGTAAGACCAAGCGTATCTCTTATTGACCTACTTACGGGCACATTTAGGTTCCGAGCCACTCCAAGTGCCGCCTATTTCACATGTTCTCTCCAAGGAACCAGATGTGAGAGCATAATCCTTCTGGCATTTGTACTTTATTTTCTGTTTGCCGCCATATGTATCTTCGACTTTAATTTTGTCGTCCATGTTTGGTGGCATCTTAGGGGGTTTACAAAAATTGGCTGAAATTATCAAGAAGAATTGAAGTGTATGACCATCAATTAATTGTGAATTGTTTATAAATAAAAAAAAATTAGAATATAAAAGGAAATTCAGCTGCACAGAAGTATGAAAATTGCATTATCATCTTCGTTTGATTATCTGTTGTACATTAGAATGGTGAACATTTTGTACAATGTTTTATTTATATATATATATATATACACACACTGGACAAAAGAAGTGTCACCCCCTACCTCAGAGTAATAAAAGTAGGCAGATCTTGGGTACTTATAATGCCTGGTCTACTTATAATGTGACTAATGAGTATAAAACCGCTATACCATGAAATTGTATTGTTGGTCTTGTACATGTACAGCAAATGTTATTCCTGTCTTCCTCCAATATGGCAAGATACAAGCAATTATGTAACGGTTATAGGTGCAAGTTATTAACCTGAAGAGGCGGAATATAAGCAATGTCAGAATATCGATACAATTGAATTGTTCAGTCAGAACGGTGCAGAGGGTCTGGTCTCGGTATAGAAACACTGGATCAAGAGACAAATTGCCTCTGATGGGTCGTTCAAGAAAAAAATACTGGCCGTGAAGACCGACGACTGATTTTGATGTCCAGGTTGTCAAAGTTCGACACTGCTTGTCAGTTGACAACACAGTGGAACAATTTCACACATAAGAATGTGTCTGTGAAAATTGCTAGGCGTCGGTTACATGCTCTGAGAGTGTACAGCAGGGTAGCAAGACTGAAACCTCTTATATCGTTACAAAACAGGCAACGTAGAGTAAACTAGGGTCAACAGGATCTGGAACTGGACAGTTCATGACAATTGGTCCTATATATTTTTTTCTGATAAGTGTCGCTTTGGTCTGACCTCTGATGACAGACGGGTAAAATGCTGGCAAACTGCTGGTAAAGCATTTGAACCACATGCACTGAATTTTCGAACCCGGAGCAGCATATTCATCATGGTGTGGGACTGCATCAGCATCCATGGCGTGGGCGAATTGATAGTGGTTAATGTAAACATGAATCACTAGAAATATATCGATGTTTTGGAGTCAGGCTTGCTACTATCTATCACTAACATGTTTGGTGACAGGAATTATTCATTTGTTCACCAGGATGACAATGCTCCTTGTCACAGGCCCAGAGCAGTTGATGATTGGTTTGACCAACAGGACATTCGCAGGGTGATGTGGCCTGCCCAGAGTCCGGATGCAAACATAATAGAAAATGTGTGGAATTATATGTCAAAACTTTTCACAAATGCCCGTCTTACCAGCAGAGAAACTCTGTTATATTCAGTGTTTCATGCTTGGGCCAGCATAAGCGCTGAACGCATCAGACAATTACATGAAACCTTGCTTCGTAGACTGGCACCTATTATTAGGTCAATTGGCTATGCCACTAAGTACTAATTTTGGACTTGAAACTGCATATTTTGGTAGAATGTATATTTTGTTCTCATTTTGTGATTTTTTGTGAAATTTGATGTTAATAAAATGATACCAGGAGCATATCATTCCACAGTCATTTATCTCCCCCATAGTATTGGTTCAGTAGGGGTGACACTTCTTTTGTCCAGTATATATATATATATTTTTTTTTTTGCAACTAGCCATGCAACTTACGAACACATCTCGGTTCCGAATCACTCCAAGTTCCATCTTTGTCACACTTCCTCACCAAGGAACCAGCTGTGTGTACGTAGTCTTTCAAACACTTGTACCTTATTTTCTGGTTTGGTTTATAGGTGCTTTCGGAGTTAACGTTGCCACCCGTATTTGGTGGTGCAGCAGGGGATGTGCAAACACCCCCTGAAATGGCGAATCGAACCGTAATCTTTAAATGCTGGTATCAAAAGATGTAAACAATTTTTTAAAAACATGCTAAACTAGCATTGACTGGCATGACAAAACTTTCAATGCTTCGATATCGGAGCGTACCCATGCCACTTCGACCGCCGTTAATGTAAAGTGGACATTCGGGGAGAGGCATTAGTCTTTCACATCTACATTCAAATTTTAAGCATCTCTTACACTCGCCCGTGTGTTAAAAACTACTTGCCCTTTGAACGTTTAGGTCTTGCCTTCATCTTTGTAAGCGTTCCTGCCCCAAGCGTGTCTTGTAGCGTCAAACATGCAAATACGACTAAGAACAGGGTGAACCGCATTTTGACACCACCTAAACCACGCTCGGTCACCGACAAAAGTGTTGGTTAAAGCACATCTGGTGTCTATACATTAACTAAAATATGTTGAGATCTAGGCTAAGTCTATGCACGGGTACCGTGCGTGATAACACCGGGCGTAGGCTGACTGTGCCGCTGCTACACGTGCTGCACACAAAAACAGGTGTAAAGGGTGATTAATATCGCTTAAATTTACACCCCCACTATTCGTTTATTGAAGAGCTTCAAAATATTACTACACATAACCCAACATAAATGCTACACATGTCTAGCCGTCTCAATTGGGATCGCAAGGAACGAAAAGGGGCGGTATAAGAACCCTAATTCAGATTTTGTTTTACATGTTTAAAGGTGTGTCGATTTATATTTGGATATCGCCAACAATGACACCAAGCTGTACAATTGCATCAAAAAGTTAGTACTGCACATGTCTAGCCGTCTCCACTGGGATCGCTAGAACGAGAGGGGGGCGGTAATAGACTATAAGGAACGGGCATTAAAGATTTGTTCTATAGGTTTGGTAGCTGTTTTTGTGTCGGGCAGCCAAATATACAGACTGTTGCAGTCATTTGTCATCTTAACAGTATGGGTAACATTCCTGTACTTAACACGGGCTCCAAATGTGCCCTGTATTCTTATAATTAACAAAAGCGAACATATCCAATGTGCTTGCATTTAAATTAAAAAAAAAAAACGTTTTATCTGAAAAAAAAAAAAAAAAACCGTTACTCAAAAATCTAGGCAGTGTTTTATTGTCATTGTTAAATTTCATTTAGCAAAAAAAAAAAAAAATCATGCTTTGCGCGTGAATTTACGCGAGTACAATTTCTACATAGGCCAAGAAATCAAGACTTTATTTTTTCCTACTGATATCCGAAATAATTTAAAATGCGTAAAGATGTTCTTATAATTTACCTTTAAAGACACAGATATCAAAATACACCCGGTCATTGTTTGATTTTTTTCACAGCCTTATAAGCACATATTATTATGACTTAAATGCTATCGAAACGACACTCGTTCTTATAACTGCCCTTCACAATTAACTTTTATTCCATCTAAATGTAATTTCCAACAAAGGTGTCAATTGATCGAATTGTCTTTCCGTGTCTAAGGCGGGGGTGTAAGCTGATCGCAATTCAGCGTTTCACAGCATTCGCCGGGTTTGGGAGGATTCAGTTTACACCCGGATGGGATTCCAACTGCTCTCCAATCAGTGCTGCACCTGGAATGCCATCCATCTTCAGTGAGTTTCAGTGAAACATCCAAAGTGTAAACACAACGGTTTTGATTTTATCTTATTTCACAAAAATTGCGTTTTTTCTTTTAAANAGGTGAATGATTTAAATCATGCGAAAATGTTACTAAAATGGCTGCTAAGGACAGCACTATCATGTCGTCTTACATTCGTACATCGCAATGATAAATAGTTAAGATTGACAAGTACTTCATTTGTTTGAAAAATATACCCAGTAGCCATGTGGTTTTCTAACACTCACCATTTGGCCGAATACATTCATAGCCCCCGTTAGAGGGTTGACACATAATTGGTTGTCCGGGTTCTTTTTCTGGACAAGGGTTCGGATTGCAAGGATCTTGAAAACATAATAAATACACGTAATGCTAAATGTCTCATTAATTATTTATAACAGCTCATTGCCAATAAGATAATGAGAAAATAATTAGATGTAGTACTGGCAATGTCTTCGGTTCAACTGATGTACAGTTTTTACCGGTGATGCGTGGTGACGTTTTGGCCTTGACCTAGTAGAAGACCATGCAATAAGGTCAAAACGTCGTGATCTACGTTTCGACGTAAGATCCAGTATTAGCTTTATTTCCTCATAATCTCAGTATGGTTTTACTTTATGAATCAAAGTAATCACTTTGAGCTCGTTCCCAGTTCCATTATCTTCACGAAGTTAGAAGAATGAAATGCTCATTTAAATAACGTACATTTCCTACATATTTAATGTTTTTCCAGCTAGCAAAAAATTTTAATTGATACAAAAAGTAGGTTAATCGTGATCCCCAATCCATTTTATACAATTAATTTTCTGCAACTTGAAGAAAATGTACGTGTACTCCTTTAGCCAATGCATATACAGGGTTACCACTTAATATGGAATATTATTTTTTGTCGAGTATATTTTCTACAAAATATTTATTTTCTCTCTAACTACTTTAAATCCAAAACTGAGGTGTCTCTCCATGTGTAGCCAGGTGTGTTAACTAATTACCACACAATTCTCGAAAAAATTGATGCATGCAGTTGCATGTTCTGTGGTCAGAAATATGAGGGGTGGTCTTTTCGGCAATTTCTGCCCTTGTATAAAAACGCATGGGTATGGTCAATCTTTGGAGTGTGTTTAGAGAAGCAACAAAGGGATCGCTCTGAAACTTGACAGGTACCTTAGAGAAGACATGGTTCGACAGCTAAGCAACGCAGCTTACTATGGGACTCTTGCTCTCAGAGAAAATGTCCAGAAACGGACAGCCATTGCCAGGTAATTCAACATTTATCAGGAACCGTTTGTTAAGTCCTCCAAAGAAATGATGCAACAGGGGCACCTACTCCAATACCTCGACCAGGGTGTCCGCATATCACACCAAGAAGACAGGATCGCCTTCTCCTTAGAGGACGCTGTGCTTGTCGTACAAAGACAACCAGTGTCCTCAGAAAAGAGAGGCAGAATGTCATTCAAACGCCCGTTTCAAGGTCCTTGTGAACAAGAGATTACTGCAAGCCGGTTATTTTGCACGAAGGCCAGTAGGGAAACCACTGTTAACAGCAGGTCATATACAGCGACGTCTGCAATGGGCTGGGGACCACGTGCGTTTGCAGCCAAAACACTGGAATCACGTCGTTTTCAGTGATGAGGCCAGATATGGATTTTTGAGGGTTGATGGTCGAATCCGTGTCCACCGACGTGTACGAGGGGCATAAAAGGATGATTGTGTACTGCCTAGGGTGCACGCAGGGGATTGTAACATCTCTGTTTGGGGATCATTTCATGTCGGTGCCCAGAACCAGTTGGTTTTTCTAAGAGGCAACCTCAGCCAGGATTCCTACAGAGACATTCTACAGCAAACGATGATTCGATTGGTAAGAGCCATCTTCAGGAACAACTTTGTGTACCAAGACGACTGCGCAACCCCACATCGAGCACGCAGAATCACTGTTTTTCTTCGAAACCAATGGGTTCAGCAACTGCCCTGGTCAGCAAACTCTCCAGATATGTACCCAATTGATTAACTTTGGGCAAAAGTAACTCACAGAATCAATAGCTATGTTCATCGGCCGGTAAATAGTGATGAACTGCGACAGGCAAATATCACTTCGTGAAATGATATCCCCATCCAAACTCTAAAAAACGTGTTACAGGGTATGCCATGTAGGATGAGGGCGCTGCAAGCGGCTGCTGGAGGTCATACCCGCAATTATTGACTTTTCATGATTTAATGTAGTGAGTTCTTTGACTGTGTAACACATCACTGTCCGGAGGCTATCATTTTCTTTAATATCTTAGCTTAAAGTTAATACTGACATCAAACTGTTGATACGGTTTTCTGGGGGTGTCCCTTTCTTTTGAATGGCATCTTATGTCAGATTTGATATCATTGACCAAAATATCTCACAACAGAAGACTGGATGTTTTTATTACTCAGTGGTATACTTTTTTAATGACTCAAGCCAAAAAAAAAATTAATCAGCACTCAAAAATAACAATGATAAAAAATATTCCATATTAAGTAGCAACCCTGTATACTCACCCTTTGCAACCGTCGTGGTGGGCAGAGTCGTGGTGGTACTGGTAGTTGGTAATACTCCACACGTGTCTCCACTGTAACCAGCAAGGCAAATACAGGTGTATCCGTCCACCTTATCCACACAAGTACCATCATTTAAGCACGGGTTGGAGGAACATTCATCAACGTCTATCAGGCAGGTTGGTCCCGCATATCCAGCCTGACAGAGACAAGAAAAACTGTCGATTCCGTCGAGACATAGTCCCTTGCTGCAGGGGTTAGATGCACATTCATCGACGTTTGTCTGGCAGTTAGTCCCTGTATAACCAACTTGACAGTTACACTTGTATCCGTTTACACCATCCAAGCAGGTTCCCCCATTGCCACAGGGATTAGATGAGCATTCATCGACGTTTGTCTGGCAGTTAGTCCCTGTATAACCAACTTCACAGTTACACTTGTATCCGTTTACACCATCCAAGCAGGTTCCCCCGCTACCACAGGGGTTAGACGCACATTCATCGACGTTTGTCTGGCAATTAGTCCCTGTATAACCAACTGGACATGTGCACGTGTATCCGTTTACACTATCCAAGCAGGTACCTCCGCTACCACAGGGATTAGATGAACATTCATCGACATTGGTTTCACAATGCAAACCAATATATCCCGCTAAACAATTGCATTTGTACCTGTCAATATCGTCGGTGCAAGTTGCGCCGTTCTTACAAGGGTTGGAGGCACATTCGTTAATGTTGATTTCGCAGGTGGGACCAGCAAAACCAGAACCACACATACAAGTGAAACTGTTTATACCATCGAAACAAAGACCATTCTTACACGGATTAGGGGTACACTCGTAGATATCAGTCTCGCAGTTTGGTCCTGTAAATCCCGCTGGGCAGGTGCAGATATATCCGTTGATTGCATCTTTGCAACTGCCGCCATTTTGGCAAGGGTTTGATTCGCACTCATCAACGTTGGTTTCACAGCTATAGCCTGAAAACCCTGCGGGACACATGCATGTATACCCATTCACGCCATCCGCACACATTCCTCCATTGAGACAGGGGTTGGATGCGCATTCGTTTATATCGATTTCGCATAAAGAACCACTATACCCATCCGGACATACACAGTTATACCTGTTAACGCCATCTACACATGATGCTCCGTTCTGACACGGGTCAGATGCGCATTCGTCGATATTGGTTTCGCATGTAGCATCGGTAAAACCCGGTTTGCATGAGCATGTGAATCCATTTATACTATCAGAACATGTTGCACCATTCTTACAAGGATTTGACGCACATTCATCAATATTGGTTTCGCATGTTGGGCCAACAAATCCAGGTTTGCATCCACATGTAAATCCATTCAAACCATCAATACATGTTGCTCCATTCACGCAAGGGTTAGATGCACACTCGTTGATATTGGTTTCACATGTACTGCCGGCAAATCCAGGTTTGCAGGCACACGTGTATTCATTCACACCATCAATACATGTTGCTCCATTCTTGCAAGGATTAGACGCACAATCGTCAACATTGGTTTGGCATGTAAGGCCGGCAAATCCAGGCTTGCATGCACAAGTAAATTCATTCACGCCATCAATACACATTGCACCATTCATGCAAGGGTTAGATATGCATTCATCAACGTTAGTTTCGCACATAAGGCCGGCAAATCCAGGTTTACATGAACATGTGAATCCATCTATGCCATCAAAACATGTTGCACCATTCTTACAAGGATTAGACGCACATTCATCAAAATTGGTTTCGCATGTTGGGCCAACAAATCCAGGTTTGCATCCACATGTAAATCCATTCACACCATCAATACATGTTGCTCCATTCACGCAAGGGTTAGATGCACATTCGTTGATATTGGTTTCACATGTAAGGCCGGCAAATCCAAGCCTGCATGCACAAGTAAATTCATTCTCGCCATCAATACACATTGCACCATTCATGCAAGGGTTAGATACGCATTCATCAACGTTAGTTTCGCAAATAATGCCGGCAAATCCAGGTTTGCATGAACATGTGAATCCATCTATGCCATCAATACATGATGCACCATTATTACAAGGGTTAGAAGCACATTCGTCAACATTGGTTTCGCATGTTGGGCCAACAAATCCAGGTTTGCATCTACACGTGAATCCATTCACACCATCAGTACATGTTGCGACATTCTTACAAGGGTCAGATGCACATTCATCAACGTTAGTTTCGCACATAAGGCCGGCAAATCCAGGTTTGCATGAACATGTAAATCCATTAACACTATCAATACACGTTGCTCCATTCTTACAAGGGTTAGACGCACATTCGTCAACATTGGTTTGGCATGTCAGATCTGCAAATCCAGATTTGCAGACACATGTGTATTCATTCACACCATCAATACACGTTGCACCATTCTTGCAAGGGTTAGATGCACATTCATCGATATTGGTTTTACATGTAGGGTCGGTATAACCAGGTTTGCATGAACATGTGAATCCATTCACACCATCAATACACGTTGCACCGTTCTCGCAAGGGTCAGATGCACATTCATCAACGTTAGTTTCGCACATAAGGCCGGCAAATCCAGGTTTGCATGAACATGTGAATCCATTTATGCCATCAATACACGTTGCTCCATTCTTGCAAGGGTTAGACGCACATTCGTCAACATTGGTTTGGCATGTCAGACCTGCAAATCCAGATTTGCAGACACATGTGTATTCATTCACACCATCAATACACGTCGCACCATTCTTGCAAGGGTCAGATGCACATTCATCAACATTGGTTTGGCATATCAGGCCAGCAAATCCAGGTTCACATATACATGTGAATCCATTTACACCATCAATACATTTTGCCGCATTCTTGCAAGGGTTGGATGCACATTCATCGATATTGGTTTTACATGTAGGGTCGGTATAACCAGGTTTGCATGAACATGTGAATCCATTCACACCATCAATACACGTTGCACCGTTCTCGCAAGGGTTAGATACACATTCATCAACGTTAGTTTCGCACATAAAGCCGGCAAATCCAGGTTGGCATGAACATTTGAATCCATTTATGCCATCAATACATGACGCCCCATTCTTGCAAGGATTAGACGCACATTCGTCAACATTGGTTTGGCATGTCAGACCTGCAAATCCAGATTTGCATGTACATTTGAATCCATTCACACCATCAATACACGTCGCACCATTCTTGCAAGGGTTAGACGCACATTCGTCAATATTGGTCTGGCATTCATCGCCAGCATAACCAGACAGACATTCACAGCTATATTTGTTGACAGCGTCTCTGCATGTAGCACCATTTTGACAAGGCGACGATTTGCATTCATCAATGTCAAATTGGCAGTTATTGCCAGTATATCCTCTTTGGCAGGTACACGTATAACCGTTGATTTCATCTTTACATAAACCATTGTGTTGGCACGGGATAGACGCGCACTCGTCAATGGCAACCTCACACAAGATACCGGTCCATCCGCCAGGGCAAGTACAATTGTAGCCATTAACAGCATCATTGCACTGTCCGCCGTTCATACAAGGAGTAGAAGAGCATTCGTCTATGTCTGTCTCACAGGTCACACCCGTATACCCCGCCATACAATCACATTTGAATTCGTTGACTTTATCTGTACAAATGCCGACATTTTTGCAAGGTTGAGAGGCACACTCATCTATGTTCGTTTCACAATGGACACCTGTAAACCCAGCTGGACAGGTACATTGGAATCCATTCACTCCATCGACACATCCACCACCATTTTTGCAAGGACCAGAGGCACACTCGTCGATGTTTGTTTCACAACGTTTGCCAGTGAATCCAGCCAGACACATACATTTGAATCCATTTACTGCATCTATGCAAAGTCCTTTGAGACATGGGTTCGAGGAACATTCATTTACATTCACATTGCAAGTTAAACCAGAAAATCCCGATATGCATTCACAAACGAATCCATTGACTTTATCTGTGCAGACGGCGCCATTTTTGCAAGGCTGGGAGGCACATTCGTCTATATTTGTTTCACACTGGACACCAGTGAACCCAGCTGGGCAAGTGCATTTGAATCCATTGACTTCATCGACACAACTTCCGCCATTTTTGCAAGGTTGGGAAGCACACTCGTCTATATTAGTTTCACACTGGACACCGGTAAACCCATGATCACAATAACACGCGTATGACGCCTCTAAATCGCGGCAAGTGCCATGTTTACACGGATTCGATACACACTCGTTAATGTTTGTCTGGCAGTGCTTCCCAGTGAATCCAGGATTACATATGCAAACATACCTATTTACACCGTCTAAGCATCTTCCGTTTTTACGACATGGGTTAGAATCACAATCGTTAATGTTTATTTCACAATTTCTTCCAGTAAAGCCAGTTGGACAAAAACACTTATATCCGTCCGCAGAGTTTTCACATTTAGCGCCATTTTGACAGGGGGGTCTATAGCACTCTGGAATGGATGGAAATAAACCGTGAGATATGTAACATTAAAATATAGCATCTCTGTTTTTGATTGATTATGTAGGCGTCGGAATCCGTATTTACCTAATAACTAGCTAACTTGGATCTTGCTGTTACCATGCCAAAAATAAATAAATGTATATGACTCTCCTTATTTAAACTCGCTCGGTTTTTAATATAAATAACTTTTAAAAGCGTTTATGAAGTAAAAAAAAAAAATTGATTCGATATTTATCCACAAAAAATACTGTTAAAGCGTTCATGAAGCCAAAATCATTTTGATTTTATTACTGTGGACGGAAGTTGTTATCAATCGAAACTTCTTATTTCTATAAAGAATGATTCATTCAAAACAAATGTATCAACTAACTGTTACAGACTTTAAACAAGATCACCCCATTTACCGTTACGCACACACGTTGGTGCCGACCCAGTCCATTTAGTTGAGGATCCTTGAACTTCACATTTTCGCACGAGATCCCCAGCAATGACTGTGTAGCCCAAGTAACATTTGTAGGTAATGCTTTCACCTAGGCTGTAGGTTGTTTGGGGCTGTGGGGTAATAGTTTTAGATGGACGTGAAGGCACCGTACATTCTGGAAAGAGGACATGAACTATTAAATTGATATAATTTCCCACTTTTCGTTATTTGTTTTAACAACGCTCAGATTGGAAATTGTCACTATTAATTCTTTATGGTCTTTTGGAATCGTTTTGCACTGAAACTGAACTGAAACAAGCTATACCTACGTTTCTTTTCACAGTTGCTGCCACCAAAGCCATCAGGGCACTCACACGTATAACCAGTGTTCTCTGCGGAACCAGAATTCCCCTTCGGTTTAAATATAGTGGCGATCAGCCCCGAGATAAAGTTGTTTGTACTCCGTTTGCGTCTTTTATTTTCAGTCTCTTTGCATTTTCCGCCGTTTTTGCAGGGGTTTGAAGAACATACCGTTGTTGTTAATGTTGGTCTTGAAGTTGTTGTACTTTCTGTGAAAAGGGCAAAACATTCAATCGATCCCATGGTTATAAATTAGGGCTTGCCTATAGATCAACCGTGAAACATACTATATAGTGTAACAACGGTTTGGTCCAAAAGAGGCAGTCAAGCCTACCAGGATTGAGAGATCGCGAAATAATAATAATAATAATAATAATAATAATAATAATAATAATACGCACTATGAAACCACCATAATAATATGCCTGATGAGATATTGTGATTTTAAATTAAGTCGCCATATAGCTTAACTGTAAATGCACCTTTACAGAAGTAGGTACAAAAGTTGGTCATATGCTGTACAATTAAATGCATGTCAAAATATATATAATTTATTGGTCACAATAAAGGGATTTATGTGTGATGAGGGTATTAATGTGATGTAAGATGCCCAGGGAAACTCCCAGGGACTAAGATAGGTTGATAGAAAGATAAGCACCAGATGTTTCTTCCCTAATTACAGACAGGATGTCTCCGCTTTTTATTTCACACTGTTAAGTTAATTACTACCAAGTGACACTGGTCAGATACCAGTAAAGCAAAACCTGATTGGACAGTACAACCTAGTCTCATTATGATCTGCCAATCAGAACTTAAGGAATTCAGCTTCACCAAAAACAAAGAACACTCTCTCTCACTTCCTTAGAAATTTTCAACCTAGCAGTACATGCTCAGGAGAGAAGAGTTTTTAGTGAATTTCATAAAGTTTCTCAAAGTTTCTCGAAGTTTATCAGTACCACAAGAAATATCAAGCAAAACGCAAGTGTACCATAAAGAGGCGATCACCAGTTAATCAAATTCACAACAAGGGTGAGTACCTAAATTTTAGAACCTGTTTGAGTATTTAAGCTCAAAGTTTAAGCTATTGCAGTATTTAGTGAATTTTGCATTCAGTTTACACAGAACTTGACTTGTCTCGCATTATTCAGAATGGTTCACAAGGTTTTAGCACTGGGTCACTCATACATTCGTAGGTTAGGGCAAACTGTAGAAAATCTGCAGGAAGACTATTTTAATCTGGGTTTTGATGGGACTAGTGTACAAGTTGTCTGTCATGGCATAGGGGGAGGTGTAATTAGTAAGGGCCCTAAGTCTCTTAGAAATGAAATGCATATGTTAGCTAGCTATAAACCAGATGTAGTATACCTTCAAGTAGGAGGCATCGATTTGGCTAAGAAATATGCAGATCCCTTAGGAACTCCACAGGAGGTATTGAAATTTGCTGAGGACTTGATCAGTTTCCCAAGCGTTAAGTTAGTCATCATTGGACAACTGCTGCCACGTTATGTAGATACAGGGTCTTACAATGAAAATATAGTTAAAACAAATTTACATCTCAAAGCATATGCACAAAGTCGCCCTAACATATATATTTTGGCATCACAGGGGTTTCTGGAAAGATTCACGGGGCATGTTTAGTAGAGATAGGGTACATTTGAACTATTCAGGAATGCAAAAATATGCAAAGAGCGTACGTTGTGCCATAGGAAAGGGCCTTGCAAAATTGTAGTAGCCAACAGAACCTTAGTTTAGTTAAGCACTTTTAGTTTCAGTACTGCACTCTCAGGAGTAGAATTAACATTAAAAACACACAGTTTACAGTGAAGGCCAGTTCATCTTTCGCAGCTTAACTGCATATTTTAACTAGTACAGTTGGAACTAACTTCACAAATCAGGCATTGTTCAGTGAGAAAGTAGCATCAACTATCAAATTATCCCGGTGTAAGTACATATAAACATGTCTTGGAAAATAGTTAATATGCTAACAAGGGAAGTCCTATATAGGATAAATGACAATAGTCTCCATTTTTATAGTGTTGGTTTAGCAAACTTAGTATATAAAGTGCTGTATGAAAATTATGTTTCTTTGCAAAATTATAAATTTGTTTTTGGTCAGTGCTTAATCTCTGATTTAAATTCAAAAATGTAAAGCTAACATGTGGAGATTCAACAGTATCGGATTGTTTGTATGGGGCGAGTTCTTCAGTAGTGTTGGCTATGCTAACATGTGGAGATCGTCTCCAGTATTGGATTGTTTGTATGGGGCGAGTTCTTCAGTAGTGTTGGCTATGCTAACATGTGGAGATCGTTTCCAGTACTTGCTTGATGTAGGAAGTGAGATCTCAGTAGTGTTAGAATCAGCTTCATTTTCATTAGGCTAATAGAGTCCATTTCAGACTCAATATAAGCATATATATGGATATACCATATACTAATTTGAGTTTAGAAATGCATATAAACATGTGTAGGCTAAATTAGGTTCAGTTTAATTTATAATGATTCAGCAGCTGTAATGTTTACTGTCAGTAAAATAATACTTAAGGTATTCTAGTGTATCTCCTATTCATTTTCACAAAATAACCCCATGGACAAGCTTGCTGTGCGCATAAATTTACTTATTCCAGTAGACATGCCACCAACAAGAAGGAGTCGAGTCAGTGCCCGGGCAACACCAGTGGCCCCTCGTGGGAGACCAGCTCGTGCATCCAAAACTAACAGCAGACAAGAAATGGCAATCCAAAACTTAGAAGCAGCCATTGACTATGATAAATTAGCCGATAAAGTGGCTCAAAGACTAATGGCTGCCCAACAGAATACTCCACCCACTCCTACTGAAACGCCCACATTTGAACCACAGCCAGGTCCAAGCTCTTCCCAGGATGAACAACCCAGTGCAGGTACGAACTTTCTGATTGACCCAAACCTGTATACAACTATGCCTCTGGGTTTTCACGTGGATGAAAAGACCAGACAAAAAATCTTTAACAATGAATATGTGGAATTTGCGCAGCTTATATACCCAGAGCAGAGCACAACTTTCAACCTTTACACAGACAGAGACGGTAATGTCACCTCACAACCAAAAACAAAATTCCTCAAAAGTATAAACCAGTGGAACCAGTCCTTTGACATTTTTCTGGCTATTTATTCATCTAAATTTTCAAACGAAACCCCCAATTTAGCTAAGTATGCAAGTACAATTAGACAAATTGACAACACATACGGATTTGCAGCTGCAAAATTTTATGATGAAAATTTTAGAAAGCTAAGAGCCTTGGCCCCTCTTGACTGGTCCATAGCACATAATGAGCTATGGCGACAGGTAACCATCAAATTTAATAAAGTAGGCCCAACAACATTCTCCCGCCCAGTTAGGAAACAGCCCCAGCCCTTTCGTTCCCAATACAACACGAGGACCCCCTTTGGATATTGCAGAAAGTACAATTCTGAAGGAGTATGCCACTACAACAACTGCATATACAGGCATGCTTGCTTCCAATGCCAACAACAGCACCCTTTCAAGTTCTGCAGAGGAAAAGATAATCACAACCCAAAACAAAACCCTGCAAGCACTACCAACACCAATAAAGGCAAAACTTCTTGAAAGATACCTACAAGGTTATGATGAAATAAATAAGAAGTACCTTATTGAGGGCTTTAACAAGGGGTTTGCACTGGGGATTCAGGGAACAGTCAATCCAAATCACGCAAAAAATCATAAATCTCTGTCCAATAATATGAATGCAGCCAAAGCTAAAATTGAGAAGGAAATTCAGTTAGGGCGCATTATGGGTCCATTCAATGAACCTTTAGAAAATTCAGTGATTTCCCCATTAGGTCTAATACCAAAAAAGGAGGCTAACAAATTCCGCCTGATACATGACTTGTCCTACCCAGAAGAAAAATCAATCAACTCCTATATCCCGGAAACATTTTCACGCGTCCAATACGAAAACATTGAAAATGTGATTTCTTTGGTTATTAAATTTGGCAAACATGCATTAATGTCCAAAGCAGATATAGCTGATGCTTTCAGGCTTATCCCAATACACCCATCAAATTACAAATTCTTAGGCTTCTCCTGGAATGAAAAATTTTACTATGATAAATGTCTACCAATGGGATGCTCCTCCTCATGTAAAATATTCGAATCCTTCAGCTGTGCTCTGCAATGGATAATGGTACACAAGTTCAACACGTTAGGCATTTCACATCTGCTAGATGATTTCTTTTTTATAGGACCTCAAAATGATGATCGTTGTAACACTGCATTAAATAACTTCTTGTTGTTATGTAAGGAAATAGGAGTCCCTATAAATAACGAGAAAACAGTCACACCCACTACTGTAATCACTATTTATGGAATTGAAATAAACTCTGACACAATGACTGCTCAGCTTCCCCAAGAAAAGGTCTCAAAAGCAGTACAGCTCCTTAAATCCATGAATAAAAAGAAAAAAGTTAAACTTAGGGACATGCAATCCCTAATTGGTTTTCTAAATTTTGCATGTTCAGTAATAATACCAGGACGAGCATTCCTACGCCGCCTCATTGATCTAACGCGAGGAATTAAACATCCCCATCACTATATCAGGTTGAACAAAGAAGCTAGGGCAGACATGTCTGCATGGTTAAGTTTCCTACACCATCATAATGGCAAATCCTGTTTCCTATTTGAAAAGTGGCTCTCATCCGAAAGTATAAAATTTTTCTCAGATGCAGCCGGAAAAAATGGGGGCTTCGCAGCCATCTTAGGTAGTCAATGGTTTATGGATAAATGGCCAAGAGACCTCGAAGATATGCATATCACATGGAAAGAGCTATTCCCAATCATTCTAGGCATAGAAATTTGGGGCAAAAAACTAGCGAATCATAAAATACTGTTCATGTGTGACAATGCATCAGTAGTGGATATCATAAACAAGACTTCAAGTAAAGATAAACATATCATGATTTTAGTAAGAAGACTTGTCCTGGCAACATTAAAATATAACATTCATTTCAAAGCCAAACATATCCCCGGATATACAAATATCATAGCAGATAAACTTTCCCGATTTAAATTACAGGAAGCTTTCTCATGGGCACCATGGCTGGACCCTCAACCAACCCCAATACCCAAAACTCTGACTCTGATGTCATCCAACAGTTGTTAAAAGCTTCACTTGCTCCAAACACAAGAAAAATGTACGGGAGAGTGCTCACTAACTTCAATACCTACCACAAGCAGAAATACGCCAAGCCTGCAGAATATCCACTCGACCAACAAATCTTAGCTGGTTACATTTCTCATCTTTTCCAACAGAAATATCAGGCGGCGACAATAGTGTCATATATATCAGTCTTGAGTTTTGTGCACAAGATGGATAATCTCCCAGATCCGACCAACTCATTCTTTGTCAAACAATTACTGAAAGGGGTAAAAAATACTTGCAAAGCACCAGATACAAGATTACCAATCACNACTAACAGGGTGACATGGGCAGTTTTTACAAACAAATAATTAAACTTAGATGTATCAGAGCTCTGTCGTGTCGTACAATTGGTTGTTTTTGGGAGCCATGCATCCACATGTAAGGTGAATGAAACCGTATGTTACACCCCATTTCCATAGATTAGATCGACCTACTTTAGATCGACCTAACTCCCTGGGGGTTCACGCTAAATAGCTGTCAGCCGGGCGGACACGAAAGTTAATTATCCCCTTGCAGCTTGTAGTAAGCGGGACGGACATTTAAGTCGGATTATCTGAAAGTAATCTAGTGAGACTCCCCGCGGGGATAGATCGATCTAAAATCTATGGGAATAGAGCCTTAGTTCAACTCAGAGGTGGATCCAGGATAATTCGAAGGGGGTTCCACATATGCGAAGCTAGCCTCCTTTTAAATAAATATACCGTTCTGGGTAATGAGAATATTGAAACTTTTTTAATTGCCAGAATATTTCTGACTAAATGATGATTTTATTATTAATGGTAATTAAGCTGCGATGTGTGGTACATATGGTGTAATTACGCTTTCCTTCATCTCTTGCGTTACTCTACATTTTGCTGGGAATTTTAAAAATCTGTGCGTACAATTTTTAAAGGTCTGGTTACGCCCCTGTTAGCTAAGTATGCAAGTACAATTAGACAAATTGACAACACATACGGATTTGCAGCTGCAAAATTTTATGATGAAAATTTTAGAAAGCTAAGAGCCTTGGCCCCTCTTGACTGGTCTATAGCACACAATGAGCAATGGCGACAGGTAACCATCAAATTTAATAAAGTAGGCCCACCAACATTCTCCCGCCTAGTTAGGAAACAGCCCCAGCCCTTTCGTTCCCAATACAACACGAGGACCCCCTTTGGATATTGCAGAAAGTACAATTCTGAAGGAGTATGCCACTACAACAACTGCATATACAGGCATTCTTGCTTCCAATGCCAACAACAGCACCCTTTCAAGTTCTGCAGAGGAAAAGATAATCACAACCCAAAACAAAACCCTGCAAGCACTACCAACACCAATAAAGGCAAAACTTCTTGAAAGATACCTACACGGTTATGATGAAATAAATAAGAAGTACCTTATTGAGGGCTTTAACAAGGGATTTGCACTGGGGATTCAGGGAACAGTCAATCCAAATCACGCAAAAAATCATAAATCTCTGTCCAAAGCTAAAATTGACAAGGAAATTCAATTAGGGCGCATTATGGGTCCATTCAACGAACCTTTAGAAAATTCAGTGATTTTCCCATTAGGTCTAATACCAAAAAAGGAGGCTAACAAATTCCGCCTGATACATGACTTGTCCCACCCAGAAGAAAAATCAATCAACTCCTATATCCCGGAAACATTTTCACGCGTCCAATACGAAAACATTGAAAATGTGATTTCTTTGGTTATTAAATTTGGCAAACATGCATTAATGTCCATAGCAGATATAGCTGACGCTTTCAGGCTTATTCCAAAACACCTTCATCAAATTATAAATTCTTAGGCTTCTCCTGGAATGAAAAATTTTACTATGATAAATGTCTACCAATGGGATGCTCCTCCTCATGTAAAATATTCGAATCCTTCAGCTGTGCTCTGCAATGGATAATGGTACACAAGTTCAACACGTTAGGCATTTCACATCTGCTAGATGATTTCTTTTTTATAGGACCTCAAAATGATGATCGTTGTACAGTAGAAATAATAATTATGTTTCCGTTGTACGACGTTTTAAAAGCGTCAGAATGTTTTAATCCCTATCCTGTGAATAGAAGGGGGCGGACAAACAATGGAAAGCCGTCTAATCCCTTCAAAATTCGAACGCAAAAACACAATAGTTTAGGCGTAATAACACACAATACCTTGGGCGAGTGAACCCCATGACGCCTGTTTCTGTGGTCCAGCGCGAGCGCGACAATCCGCTGTGGCTAGGTGTAATTAACAGCAGGATACACCAGCCAGAAGGTGTCCATTGTTTGTTGCGGCGATAGGATTATAGCTTTAAGATGCTAGAACCCATGCTAACGCGTGCCACTCCCGTGGCCACCTATCCATATGTTCACTAGCTTGGCACGCGCAGCTGATCATGTTTTAATTGTTGCAAGATAACTGCTAGTTTAATTTAGTATCAGTTATTTAATTCAATATGAAGTGTTCTGTGGTCAAAAATTGAATTTGATAAACATGCATTAGCATCGTACATCAGCATGATCAACAAATCACCCCGTCTCAAAAAGTTTAAAGATGCTCCGTACACAAATTTTCATCATCGCGACCCGTGTAAAAATAGATTAGTGTTTAGAAATAACAAAGAAAAAAACATTATTAAAACAATTTATTCACATTACAAGCTGACGTGTTGCCTCAATTACTACATTAAGTTACATTTTATATAAAATAATAGAGCAAATCCGTAAAAGGATAATAATAGAAAATCTTAATAAATAAATAAATAAATAAATAAACAGACCCGCAGCCAGGGGGAGTTCAAGAGGTTCGAAAGAACCCCCTTTTGCTGAAAAAAGGTCCACTTTTTCAGAAAAAGACCCCCCCCCTTTGAAATTGCTGGCTACGAGCTTGATAAATAAATAAATAAATAATTTAAAGAATTAANGGGGAGTTCAAGAGGTTGGAAAGAACCCCCTTTTGCTGAAAAAAGGTCCACTCTGGGTAAAATTTGACATAAGTACATGGGGATTTTTCGGTAAAAGGTCCACTTTTTCAGAAAAAGACCCCCCCCCCCCCTTTGAAATTGCTGGCTACGGGCTTGATAAATAAATAAATAAATTATTTAAAGAATTAAGTAAATAATTAGATGACATTAAGAATCAAATAAAAAAGATAAAAATTAGATGGTATAAAAAAAGGTAAATTATTTCGAATAATTTAATAAATATATTATGATTTAATAATTAAATTAATAAATCGCTGTGAAGAAATAATCATTGTCGCCACTAACGCGGTGAGTGTCTACCCATTATCAAAGGCCACAGATAGATTTTCACTAGTTACCAGTATAGACAGATGTGTATCTGGTTATTTGATGGGACCTTTTGGCACGCGCGTTAGGGGAACGAGCACATTAACTAACTTTTAAGATTAAAGTGAGTGTCCTATCATTTGAAAGCCAACAAAATATTTTATTCCACATTAGAGAAATTAGCCTCATAATTACATTTGTAATTTTATAACTGGGTTTATGTAACTCTTCGCTGTTCAGTAACAGTTATAAAGGAAAGTTAGATTTTGCTTGTATGAAACACACTTTTTATTTTGATAAAAATCGACTGCGCATGCAGCATATTGATATAAGGCTTTCGATGACGATTGAGCATGAAACGTCAAGTCATTTTTCCTTTTCATAATAGTGCTGGGCACCCAGGTGTTGAATCTTTTACTCGACGTGCATCTCCTAATATTGTATAGGCATGATTTCAGGTTGCGTTCAAAATGGGTTGTTTGCAGCATAACGCCCTTATAAATGCTTTGTGATATATGTGAATAAACCTAGCTTACTAAATAACTATTACCAAAGTGAAGCATGGCTTTAGGTTTAACAGTCCAAGATTTATTCAAAATGGGCAGTTAACTTGGACCAGTCTTGTTTCATTAACTTTGCGAATGGAAGTCTCCGTCGTCAACGTAAATTTCCAATATGATTTTACATCACTTATCTGATTTAACAATCTTATTGTTTAGGTTTTGTTTAAGGTTGTATGAGAAAAGATAATGATCACGTTTAACAATAGATTGAGGGCTACAGTAAGTCCCTCCTCTTTGGGCGATGTCGAAGACTGTTAATTCAACGTACTTTCATAAACATGTAGTGTGACCACACTGTCAGCCATCCCCCTTGTTGCACGCCCAAGCGATTTGTCTCATAACTATGACAAGGCGTTCTTTTTTCTCGTTGTTGTTTAAAAACGGACCACTTTGTCAAGGCTAATTGCTTAGCTCTGTGCGCGTCATATGTACTTAGCTCTTTGCGCGTCATATGTAAACGCTAAGATATGAATGTTATACCGGGTAGTTGATTGTTTTGCCCGGGCGCCGCACTTACGCTTTCTTACTAGAGCGATCTAGAACAACTAAGTCGCTAGTTTTCCCTGTTTGTAACTGTAGCAAAATATGTTCGACATGCCGTTTCTGCACGACAGCCGGAGACACAGTAATTGTATAAGGCATGGTTTAAGCTTGTTCGAGAGATAATAACAGTCGCGTTTAACAAAAGATGGTAAGACCCCCTCCTCTTTAACTGATGTCTTACACTGTTATTATTGACAGCACTTTCATATATTATGTAATACACTGTCAGACTTTCCCCTGTTGCACGTTGGTGTTGGATTGTACTTGTGCCTCTGTCAATGCACCTCATTTAGTTTAAATATTTTTACCGCACAAACCTTTGTGGTTTAGAGTTATTAGTTTAGTAGTAGGAATAGGATGCTTGGACAAAAAACTTCTAGTCAACTCGCTTAGACCTGGGGTGTGATGCTGTTATCATTCGAGGAAACACCAACACTGAATCCTCTACCTGAAGTCCCTAGCTGAAACAAAAAATTCCCCTTGAACCGGTCCATTTTTAAAGCGTAGAATCATTTTTGATATCATTGAGCGTCTTTAAACGAAAGCTTTTAAGTGACAAAAACAGAACCGTGTGGTGATTATTTATTAAAGCGTAGGTTTATTCATCATGATCTATTTTGTAAACAATACTTGCCTAGATTTTACTTGGATTGATCATCATCACTGTTTGGCTACTCGCCTATAATGCGGGCTGAACGACAGACAACTTATAAATATTATCTGTGTTACTGTGTATATGACCACGTTAAGTTAAAATAGAACGGTGTCGGTGATTTAATCCATCCAACATATTTATATTTCTCCTTTTAAAACCAGTGTTAGGTTAACATCAAGTCAAAGCAAGCCTTGCAGATTGATTTTGTTTAAATTTTCGTAAATTAAGTAAAGCTAAGTAAAGCCTGTTTCTAGTTCATCCACGCTATAAAACTGCATAAAGGATAACAAGTCTCTGTAGCCAATTAACTTTCACAATGTCCTGTGCTTTAGAGTACCATGTTATACAATAAAATGAGTATGGCCTGAGAGAAATATAAATATGAGGCCGTGTATGAAGATGTTTCAAATAATAAAAATCAAGAATTTAAACATGTTCGGTACATGCACATCACTTAATAAGTCATTTCACAAAAATGGCATCTAATTTTTCAGATAAACCTCCACTTTTATCGATCTCAACGCCTTGTCTGATTTTTACATGTAGGCGGTATACTCCAATATTAATTGCTAACAATATCAACAACGACTCGAGATCGTTGCCTGTCTTTCACACTTTTACACAAACTCATGAAGGGTTAATAAAAGGATTCGCGTTGCGACATCTATCTAACTAATGGCCAGTTAGTCTGATCGGATATATTAACCATATAATCAGACTTATAAAAATTCAGTCTGACCAGACTAATTAACCATACAAACGGCCTTATTAACCCTATTAGCAGACTAATGACCAGTTAGGCTGATTGGACTTATTANTACAGAAGAGAACAGTTTCTCTGATCATCTGTAATATCCTGCGTCGTTTTTCAAAGCAGTTTTACGAAATTATTTTTAATACGAGGTTACACGGGGAAAGTGGAAGGTAATAAATTTTAATAGCAGGGAAATTTTGTCACTGGTACCTTTTATGTCGTTTGAAACTCAATTTTTGGCATTAAAGCTATTAAATATTTTTTGCATGCATCAAAAATTGCTCATGGATGGTTTAGTTGTTTTCACTTAAATTATAATGTTTTCAAACGGGGCAAGAATTAAGGGAGATTTTAGTCTACGTGATAACGATAACCACAGCATAATTATGCTGCATATTTTTAATCGCTTGAAACGTTTGGCCGTAAGTTTAAGTCGTGTTTGTACTGTTTGTACATTGTACTGAATAATCATGTTTTATTGTAATGTATAGAACGAAAAGAGAAGCCATACGTTCGAAATATCGGATCAAAAAAAGGAGTTAATCACTTTTAGTGACATAGGAACAAAATTAGAAGCTGACCTGGGATACACCTGCCTGAAAAGAGGGGGGGGGGGGGGCACGGCGATAGATAAAAGCCTGAAGTAAAATTTACGTCAGGAAGTTTTCAAAGCCTTATTTAAGAACAAAAAGAAAGGAGACCCAATGTTGACGCACGCACGCTGCTCATGACAGTGGGTGGGAAACAGTACAATACGAGCTGCATTTTCTACATTTATTTACTTGGAAATACAGTGTTTGCCGGCAATGGAAGCACAAGGGAATAAAACTGAGAAAAAAAAACCCTCTCCATTACAGCTGAATCTGAATTAATTTCGACTTCAACACGCTGGTCATACGTGAAACATTTGTCTTAAACTGTATATTTTTCAAAATGTGCTGACTCTGCCCCTGGTTGTTCGATAAAACAATATGTTGGCGGCCAGCAGCAATTGGTATCGGTAAACTGG